CATCCCATATGCATGTATTTTATAAGAGAACTTGACAAATATTTGTAATATCACAAGCATTTGCTTGAACTTTATTTTGTTTGTCATGTCTCATTTGCCGTACACGTTGATTTTTCAATCATGCAGCAAAAACGAAACAATTTAACATATATTGCAGGAGTATTTGCTTGCGGATATCCCGAAGCTGCCGTATTGAAAAAAACAAGCAAATAATATAGATGACTAAGAATAATAATAGATAGATGACAAAGAAAGAAAATTACAGCAATGAGGTCGTCATGCATGCAGGAATTAAAGAACACTATACAATTTAATAAACATAATAATTTATAATATAATTTTTTTTCTACATCAGAATCTATTTTTCTGGCATATCTTGCTCTTAGAATGAACTCCACAGTGAATGAACTTTTACAGTGCTAGAGTCCGATTTTAGGAAAACATGGGTGTAGGTCTAAAGCAATAATTACTTATTAAATTTATCTTTTTAGCATTAATTCCTGTTCTGTTTAGGTTCATCAATAAATCTTATGATCCAGAAACAATACAAATGTTTACATTCTCGCATATAAGAAAACTGATTTGATTTTTCTCTAACAAAGATCGAGGATAATTGAAGAATTATGTTCAATCTCTTAACATTTGTATTTGGACCTGTCGGTTGTTATGTTATCTGGAAGTTAAATACATGATGCCACCGCCGGTGATAGAAAGAGTACTTTCTTGTAAAAGTACCAGACTAGTTTCAACAGAATATATGCACTTTAAGATATGTTGGCATGCAGTGTTTGAATATTCAATCGTGGATAAAAAAAAAATCTACACCAGGCCATCTTTAAAAAAAATATTTGTTTGCTCTCTTCCGCTAAGGATTAAAAAAATGGATAGGTAGGTAGGCAGTAATTTATTTATTTATTTATTTATTTTTTGACATTTTTTTAAGATGGCTTTTAACAAATCAGATTTAACTGATATTATATCAGAAGTATCACACAAAATTTCAAAAGTAATAAACTGAAAATGTAAGTCATTATTGAGGCAAGCTTCTACAAGGGAGTGTAAAGTCGAGAAAACGAAACGTGTCACAATAAAGTTTCTGATTTTTTCAAGGAAACCTTTGAAATCTGGCCAATATCTTGGTGTTTAAGATATTTTTCAATGACTCAGCCAATTGAAATTTTCCATGGATTATGTCAAATTGGTGAGGAAATTTATTGAAAACCGAAAAAGTATAAATTTCATGAGATATTTTGATATCTTATATTTTTTATTCATTAACCTGAATACCCGGTATATCTGAATCCACGGTCAAGTGAAGTATACAAGATCTCCTCCTAGACGACCAAAACTGTTTCCTCTCTTGGATAGGTGAAAGTGATTAGGAGAATTTATCAAATGATTTTACTTCTTGCCATTATGGAGGGAGGAAAAGGGAGGTCCTTGGCAAAAACTGGAATATTGACACAAAATGTGCCTGCTTCTGATGCCATTTATGTAACTTCTCGATGATAAGAATTAACTATAGGCGCTAATACATTGCCAATCTTGTTTTGAATACACAACTCAATACAAACTATAGCGTCTTTAAGAGTTTTTCATTCAAATTTAGATAAATTATTTTAACTAAAAGAAGGATTCTTGTCTGATTTCAGACTAAATGCAATATTCAAAGTATATTGCTAAAATCTCTTTAAAGGTAGATGTAAGGGACATAAAAGTTAATTAAAAGGAATTTTTTAAAGTAAATGAAAATCAATTAATTATTAGGGACGTAGGTTTTAGATTATATCAAATAAATGATTTTCCAAACAAACTAAGTTCTTCATAACTTTTAAACGCTTCCGTGCATGTTGAAATCTCGCATTAAGCAATTGAGGGGCTGTATGAAAGCTATTCATCCTTCTGTCTTAAATAATTCAGAAGTGAAAAAGGAATTAGATTACATTATCAGTATGTACTGGTCCCAGTAGTCAAAGCAGGTACAACATTATCGTTGTTTAATTTGTAAGGTTCATTATTTGAATTGTATTTTAGAGGAACTAGGATCTAAGTTTGCGAGTGGAAATCCAACTTACACCCTAGCTCCCTTTCTAAGGAAGACATTCTTCAAAATCTTATGTCTGTTCTAGATATTTTTGATATTCCCAACAATCAAAATGAATTTGAATTACCATACCTTTACTGGATTCCTAAACTTTATAAAAATCCTTACAAACAAAGATACATAGAGGGTTCCAGTAAATCTTCTACCAAGCCTTTTTCTTTACTCTTCATTAAAATATTTAAACCGTTCACGGTAACTCAGTCTTTAGAGCGCTCGATTCCGTGATCGGGAGGTCGTGAGTTCGAATCTCGGCCGCGACTGACCTTAGTCGATAAAAAAAAATGGGAAGTAACCGTTCCTTCGCCATGAGCTCGGCACTTTGAAGTGAAAGTTACGGGTCCTTCGGATGAGACCTTAAAAACTGAGGTCCCGTGTCACGGCAGGCGTTGGCACGATAAAGACTTCACTGCTCAATGGCCCTGAGTGCCGAGTAAAGGACAAAATTTGAAGTCCTTCACCGGTATATGGAGACGTCTCTATATGAGTGAAAAATTCTCGAATGGGACGTAAAACAACATACAATCAATCAATCATTAAAATATTTTGTGTAATGAAGGAGAAACATCAGGAGTACTGTACAACAGTATATTCGAGATGTGATGTAAATAAGGTGTGGATACTTAAAAACTCCAAGAAACTTTTAGAAAATTTTGAAATCACAACATTTCACTTAAACCAGTGTCACCAAAACGTACGACTTTTCAACACTTTATACAACCATTTCCCACGATGAATTGAATTAAGTCCAGGCTTTTAGAAACCTTAGACAGCTGCTTTTTCTATAAAAATGGAATTCGTAAAAATACATACCTTGTCAATTGCAAAATTATTATGTTAAAAAGCATTCTGATTGTACATATAAGTACTCTGAAGTTGATATTAAAAAGATGCTTGAGTTAATTTTCTGAATGACAATATCTATGTAGTTTTTGGAGATCAGGTCTTCCAACAATCTGTTGGAATTTCCATGGGTACCAATTACGCCCCGTTATTAGCTAACAGACATATTTTTGTATTCATATGCAAAAACATTTTTACATGAGAAGATGAAAACAATTGCTGTGGCCTTCAACTCGTCATTTCGATATATTGACCACTGGCTGATTTAGAGGGGGGCCCAGCCCCCCCCCCCCCACTTTGTGTCCAAAATATACATAAGATTTAATAAATCAATTTTTTTGATGTGGCCGTGGGCCCCTACCCAAACCCCAAATTGGTCGCCCCCCCTTTTCAAGATTCCTGGATCCGCCACTGTCGACGACGTATTATCGATTAACAATAGTTATTTCCGTTCATATGTCGACTCGATATATCCCAGTGAGCTTGAAATAAAAGTTAGATATCTTACTTGAAAAAGACGTTAATTGTTACCTAACAACAAAGCCTTATGATAAGCGTGATGACTTTTCAATCGTCAACTTCCCTTACTTATGTAGCAATATACCCTTATCAGCTACATATGGGGTGTATGTCTCTCAGTTGATTCGATACGCAAGAGTATGCTCTTCGTATGAACAATTTCTAAAACGATGCAAGCTATTGACAAACAAGTTAATGAAACTAGGATATCAACCGTCTCGTTCGAAGTCATCATTTCGCAAGTTTTATGGTCGATACAATGACCTTGTCAACACATACAACCTATCATTGAGTCAAATGCTGACTGACATTTTCTTCATACTAATTGTTAAGCCATTATTTATACACTGAACTGTCTACGGATTTTTCCGGGGTTTTTTTTCGATCATGACAAGGAGCACACAGCGGGTGTGACCGGTCGGCAGGGGATGCTCACTCCTTCATGGCACCTGATCCCATCTCTAAATTTTTGAGGTCCGTGTGTGCTCTGCTCCAAATTTGTATCGTTTCATTGGAGTTTCGAGATTGAATACTGATTGTTATCTTCATGTTTCATTCCTAGAAAAAGCTTTGAATTCAAGTCTGACTTGAGTAAAAAAAGTACAGTAAAAATTGTTTTTCTCTCTAATTAAGGGGTCAAAACTTTTTGTTCTGTATCATTTTGTTTGAGAATATGACTACTTCACCAAATGTGAGATTAAGAAAAAATTAAACATTCCCTAAACATTTTCAAAAAAAAAAAAAAAATAGAGGAAATTCGGATTAACTTTTATATCTGTTTAAGTTAGATTAATAATCTCAGTATGGTAGAATCATCTGATAGAACATAATATTATATCATCCTTTTATCAAAAAAGAAAAAAAAATTAATCTTTTGAAATAGAAGTAGGCACTTATGACTGACTACAGTGATTTTTTTATGTCAAGGAAATGACATTAATGACCTTGATCTGATCTTGCTTTTAAATAAGATGGTCGAATCTGATTCCATCACATATTGATATTGTCTTGCTGAATCTGTGAAAGTTTCATTAATTTTAAATGCAATGGACATCAGAAGAATCCCCTCCTTAATGGATTTGCCAGAAAGTACTTTTGGTATCTGGCCAATTAATAGCTGTGTAAGAAAAAAAAATTAAATAAACCAGAAATTGTGGAAATGGACTTTGATGGAAAGAAACATCACTTTAAATATTGCATCGTATATGCAGTTTTTATTCCGAACAATAACGAAATCAATATTTCTCTTTTTGTTCCATTAAATATTTCTTTGAACTTTATTTTCCATTGATCTCATTCTTTGTGAAAGTTGTTACTTTTATCATAGGACTAAATGTTAGATATTGTTTCAGCGATATTATTATTCCCGCTGACTTTATTAACATGCGTACTGTAAAAATAGCGTTTGGTTTAATCTGATCCTATTAAAGCAATACAATAAGCCACGGGCAGCCTATCTATGATCGTACTCTTTATAGCTCCCAGAAAACATTTCGCCTGCTGCTTCACATAAAATGCATATATTACAGAACAATTATGAATAACGTTCTGTGTGTATATATAGACAGACTTGTATTCAGTTTTCCAATAACAGAACAGTCATAAAATGTTGTTACCGATCGTTGGTAGACCGATCCTTGAGTCTATCAGCTCAGAAGCTGCTTTGAGTGTTGTATACATGAGATTTACTGTACAAGTGCAAATTAACCGTACCTGAAAAAAAATGTTTGAGGCAGTTTTAAAACTGAGAAGTTTGGGAACTATTTTTGACTGGGAACTAACAATCTTGACAAAATCGCTCAGTGTGAGAACTGTACAGCTCTAATTGGTTTTATTCATCAATTATCGTACTTTCTTTAAATCAATAGAGAGATATCGAGCGAGGTCGGTTTTAATTTTATCATGAGCCGAGGATGTTTTTTTCTGAGATTCCAGGAAGATAACGTAAATATAATGTGGACTTAAATCAGCAGGTAGGTCAGAAACGCCAGGAAGAATTGCAAAGAATCAAGTTACTATCTAAAGACTAAACTACTTAACGTGAGCATGGCAAAACGTCTTAAAATATAATTTATATACATGTACAATGTCTAAATTAAACTGTGTTGGACCCCATTTCGCGACCGGGCATCAACACACAATAAAGCTCTCTTCAGTTTAAACGATTTTATTGATTTCTGAGCAATTTGTTTCCCAAATTTTGAGTGTGAAATTAAATTAGACAATGATACTACTTTTCTAAACGTCACATCTATTATTTAATTTAAAACAAAAACACTTATTGGTGAATGATGAATATCTAACCAAAAAAATTATTTAAATACTGGCCTTGAATATAAAATTATGCCAGTGCATTTCGAATATCTTTTGATATAGTTGTTTAAGAAATTGCCTTTGATCTATCACTAACTCCTTTGATGAAAGTGCGTGCATACTCCTAAAAACCTTGAAAATATTCTTCATAAAGTTCAGATACGATTTTGTTTTCGTTTTAACATCAAATTACTCAAATATGTGTCGATTTGTTTGAGTAACAGTTCACTGATACGGTGTTAAAATTGATTTCGCAAACAGTGAATATTTGTCCCCAAGGAAATATTATATTTGTTTTCTTTCTCCAAAACACGCTGTTAATTACTGGGAAACGTTTGCTTCTCAGTTCTAATATTTTGTTATCGGAATAATCTGTAATAATGTGGTGTTGTTTTTGGGTGCCTCGATTTTGTTTTGATCTAAGACTTTTGTTTTCAATTGCATATGTGACAAAAGGATCGGACACAAAATTCACAAAACTAAGGCATATTGCTTTTAGGAATTATTTCGGTCATGGAGAATTTTCCTACTAACATAATTTGAGATGAAGCAGAAAACTCATACATGCACATGAATACGATTGATTATATAAATACATTTTATATACGTGAATTAATCACCCATGGCAATCTTTAAAAAGCACATTAAAGTATGATCGCATTAATATTCCTGAGTTTACCTTTGGCTGAGTGACTAACAAGTAAAAAAGGGTTTCCAATTAAATAATGTATAAAATACCGTTATGTTGAAAATCACCCAAGTTACTGCCATAATGTCATTATCATATTGACAGACATATAAGTGACTGATCTTGGAAATCATCATTCTGTAAAAAGATCCATATCCCTTTTAATGTGTGTTTCCTCTGGTCTCCTCCGCCTCTATAACTGTGTTTAACGATACTTAACTCCACAAATTTAAAAATGTATGATTTATTTCATCAAGCAGAAAATGCTGACAGACGGGCAAATTTGAAACAGAATTAAAAGGAAAAATAAAATAAATAAAAAAAAAAATAAAAAAACCCCATACTTTTACTTTTTGGCTTCAAGTGCACATGATGCCCCTGCTTCAATGTATCCTAATCATATAAATCACAAATCTTTTACTAAAAACGCCGCATCATTTTTGTTTCCTAATGTTAGTTCATTGTATTTGAAATTTGTCTTAAAGCATGCACTGAAAATTAAAAAATCACATGAAAAAAATCTTACATGATAGAAAATTCTGAAATTGATACCTTCCTTTCTTGGTGAGTTTACTAATCAAAAATTTAATTATTTCTGCCGAGGTCTCAGTAAGAGTCGCAATACATAACAACACAATACAGAAGAACTAGGCTATAGAAACTTGTCCTGGACTCTATTCATCCAAATTAATCTCTTACAACGAAAATACACATTGGCAATCGTAGCGTACATTTATAAGAAGTGAAACTTGAGAAAGACGAGACATATCTCATAGGAGATAGAAGGAAAAGCGATTTTCCAAGTTCGTCCTGATAGATATTCTTCCGATATTTAGCTTCCTTGCATGTCAATAACGCCATGTTTTGTGATTAAGTCCCTGATTCTATGAAATGGACGGCCAATAGTTCTCTAATTTGTACAAATCTGACATCCTGATATTCAACAGATATCCGATTAATCCAGTTCCAGAATTAAACCGACAGGAAGCCGTTATTTTCTGGAAAATAACATCTCCTGCAATAAATCAAAGAATCAAAATAATATTTTTCTCATCCGTCTTATAGGGTCAGAGTACGAGGGTCACTTTTCGGAATTATAATTTCATCGGTTGTTTGGAATTTTTCTAGGAAAGAGGGTCACATTGTTCTGTCAAACAGCTGTTGTAAATTTCCATCAAAGTAGTAGGTGTTAGCTTATTAGTAAAAATAAAAAGATATACAGTATTTCACCCAAATTATTCAGTGCTTCATCCTTTTCTATGACCAGTAGGTAAAACGTTAAATTTTTTTTTTTTTTTTTTTTTTTTTTTTATATTACCCCATCACATGAATATGATGATCAATAAGTTTACAGCCAAGTTTGGGGAGCCTTGGATTCTGCAAACTATTCTGACAAAGTTCCTATACTAAACATCTTGTGACAGGTGAATTTTTTATATACAAAAAAAGGGAAAGAAAAGCCAACATTCACACCTCAGCCATACAAGACATATATATGCAAGCTTAATTATCTAAATTTTACCAAAAAAAAAAAAACAAAAAATCATTGTTTCAATGATAAGTAGTTTGAGCAACAGGGGGTTCATCTCAAACAAAACAATTATGCAGTACATGTTCTAATGGTAGACAGTTCCATTTTCTATCAAATTTCTCAATATCACAGTTTTTCTTGTAAATATATTTCTCACATTTATAATAATACAAAATTTCGTTTTTAGCTCCTTCAAATGAAGGAATTTGTTTTAAACATCTTTTTCGGTATATGTGCTTCTTTACAATACATGTTATTAGATATGTAATGTTATAATACTTATCATCTTTTCCAATAATAATGTCCAATTTATTCATTACAATATCAATTCCAGATAGTTCTTTTATCCAATCTTGAATTTTTTCCCAGATCTCACTTACACATTCACACTCCCAAAATAAATGTCCCAGTGATTCTGGATGTACATTACAAAAAGTACATAATTCTGATTCTACAATCCCAATCTTGTTTAAAAATGTGTTTGTTGCAAGAATTCTGTGCATAATGCGGTATTGAAACCATCTAAGTTGCATGTCATTTGTAACTTTAAAAATAAGACTATTTTTAGTTTTCCACCAATTACTGTTCACATCTAGATTAAACTCTTTTTCCCATTTTATTTCACATTTAGGTTTTTTCCAACTTTGATTCAAAAATACATTGTAGTAATCCTTTGAGCCCTTTTTACATTTTCTAATTATTTGCAAAAATTGTGGGTAAAAAGGTAAGTTATTAACAATATACTCTGTATTGTAATATAAGTCTAGTTTCTTTATACTATTTATAATCCCGTAATACAAGGTAAATGGTGGATAGAAATTGTACTGATTACAGAACTCTTCATAACACATTAATTCACCTGTGTAATTGTAAAAATCTAGTATGTAACAAACACCTTTTTCAAACCATTGTTTATAAAATACACTTTTGTTATTAATACATATTGATTCATTAAACCACACAGGACTCAAAATACAGTGAGTCTCGATACACTTTCTTAATTCTAAAAAAGCTGAAAAAACATCAATCCAAAAAATATTTGTACTGGTTTTAATAAGCTTTTGCAAAAAAGAAGGTCCAAAAACTGTTATCTGTGATGCATTAGGCAAAGTTTCAACTATCAAGTGTTTCCAGCCGGATTTACATGTATCATCATAAAAGCGGCGAACCCATGTAATTTTCAAACTTTTAGCAAAAGTATCAAGACAAATCATTTGGAAACCTCCATTTTCATAGCTTTGAATAATATCACTCTTTGCAACTCTTGGAGTTTTAAAGTTCCATATATACTGATAAAAAATATTTTCGATTTCTTTCAATTTTTCTTTTGGGGGAGTTGGTAAACTAATTAACAAGTGTGTAATTTTTGGAAGAATCAATGATTTAACCACAGTAATCCTTCCTGCAGTTGATAACATTCTGCGTGACCATAAACATATGAGTGCTTTTATTTCTTTAAGTTTCGGTGTGAAGTTTAATTCCAACATAGAGTTACTTTCTAGATTTACACAATATGTTATTCCTAAAACAGTAAAGGGTTTTTGAGACCAGTTTAAGTTTTTGAATTCATCTGATAACCTCAAATTGTTTCTTAGTGATCCTATTTTAATACACTGTGTTTTTTCATAGTTAGGTTTTAGTCCAGAAAACTTTGAGAATTGATCAACAAGAGAGAGAGCTGATTTTAAAGAGTTTTTGGAACCATCTAGTAGCAATACTGTATCATCTGCATATTGAAGCAATTTAAATTCCTTACTCACTGTAGTAATGCCCCTGATTAACGAATTATTCCTTATCATTATACCCATTATCTCAGCAGAAAGGAGAAATAAATATGGAGAAATTGGATCACCTTGTCTGCATCCTCTACCTATATTGAAGAATTCAGAAAAAATGCCATTCTGTATTACACACAATCTGGCATCTTGAAAAAGAAGTTTAATACACTTTATAAAAAAATCACCAAAATTGAAAAAATCTAAGACTTTAAAAATAAATTTCCATGAGACCGAATCAAAAGCCCTTTCAAAGTCAATGAGGAGGACTAATCCAGGTTTATTGTTTTCATTACAATAATGTATAATATCATAGAGGAGTCTGGAATTTTCACCAATGTACCGTCCTGCAAGAAAGCCTTTTTGATTCTCATGAATTATTTCTGACAAAATTGGTTTAATACGACTTGCTAATACACCAGATAATAATTTATAAGTGATATTCAAAAGTGAAATTGGTCTCCAATTTTTTAAATACTCTCTAGGTTTATTCCCTTTAGGCAGAATTGAAATAATTCCTTGTCTTTGGGTAGCTGATAGTCGACCGGACTTTAAACTATGTTTGAAAGACTTTAGAAGCAGTGTACCAATGTCTGCCCAGAAGAATTTAAAAAACTCAGCAGTAAAACCATCTGTACCTGGTGATTTATCATTTTTAAAGTTTTT